ATATTATTTTTTCATAGATTATCAAAATCATTTTCTCTTGTTATTTTAGGCCAACTCTATTATAATTCGTTACGGATATATGATCACTTTGCTTCAATAAGTATGTTATGGTGCAGATGAAATTGAAAAAATGGTTTCTATTGGCTTCTTATGTGCTTTTCAGATACTTGATTGCTGACATCAAATTTAGTTTTAAATTTATGTAGCTAATAAGTTGCACTTACTGTTACAGGTCCAGAAGCTCCAAAGGGTTTGTTTAAGGAATCCTGTAAAGGTACACTTGTAATGTTTACAAATTTTTATCTATTGGATAAATTACATTCCACATTTTGAGAGATGCTTAAATTACCTTGCCCTGTCCTCTAATCATACACCCTTCTCTTGAGATATTAATGTCTCTCACTTGTGTCCATTTTAACATAAACAAGCTTCCTAGGCACAACTTTTCTCTATAATGTTTATAGTATCAACGGTTGCTAGTTTTAATCCCTTAATTTTGAATTGCAAAATGTTAAGATTTTTGGTAAAGTTTCAACTTCCAAAGTTTATAGTAAGGAAACTTCTTTTCATGTTTTAAGGCCTTAAAATCAGTGTTCAAAATTAGTTCAGTGGCACAGTTAGTCTCACAAAAAGGAAAAATGTCCATGGGAGGCTCATTCTAAGCTTCTCACCATTTCTTAGACGTTCGATTACTTTAATATGGACTAAAACATAGCTCATTTCATCCCTTAGGGAACGGTGTGTACTTTAAAATTAGAATTTAAGGAAATATACTTTAAGCATTTCTCAAACGTGGGGATTATTATTATTATTATTATTATTATTATTATTATTATTATTATATTAATTCTTTTGTTTGATGTTACTCAATTTGTTTAATTCAATTTAGATTGAAGCAGCATCCAAATATTCCACTGTTGACACATTGAAGCAGCAGTATCGTTTCTTACCTGCCAAACACAAGGTTTTTCTTCTCCCTTGTTCAGCAAAATGTTGGATTTTAATAACTAGAACTGACTGTTAATTGTGGATTGATTTTCTTAACACTCATTGTATCTTGGCCCAATGGAAAGGTTACTAACTACTAACCACTCATGCTGAGGGAAAAGTAATTGGAAATGTCTTAGCGCTTTTGTTCCCCTTGTTTTTTATACCAGCATTGCTGCGAGCTTCAAACAGTCTCTCTCTTTTTATTTGTTGCCCTAAAATAAGATATATTTAATAAAATATCACAATGAGGTTAAAATACTATAAAAGAATTTACATCAGTGGGAGTATGAATCTACGATTTTTAGGGATCGCTTGAAATCATAGTTGAAAATTGAGACTCCCGTGGGTGTGGTGTCTCTGTCTGCATGGGTGTGGCATTGCATGGCTGCAGCGTCGCATGCGTGGCAACATCTGTGGCGGCTGCGTTGCTGGGTGCGGCAGCTGCAAGTGTGACAGCTGTATATCTTCTCTCACGTGACTTAAGATTTTTTACATGTGTTTTGACCTATATCCAATTAGGTTAAATTCTCCTCAAAGCCCAATAACCCATTTTTTATCCTTTAAAGCCCAGTATGCACTCCCACTTTTATTAGCCTTTAAAAAAAAGGAGACTCTTCCTCTTCTTGTGTAAAGAGACATTGTCATAACCCATTTTTTATCCTTTAAAAAAAAGAGAGACTCTTCCTCTTCTTGTGTAAAGAGGCACTGCCACTGTGCAGTAACTTAAAAGCCTAAAATAAGTACTTTTCTAGTGAAAAAAGAGACACAGTGCAGTAACTTCCATTACTATTTTTTTCTTATTATATTGCTTTTTGATTATCATATCTAATTGAAATTTAAATATTTGGCATATATATGAATTTCATAAATTTTGTAGGATCTTACAATTACGATTTATACTTTTTTTTTTATCTTGAGTAAGATCTTGATTTTGACTATGATAGAGAAACATAACCATGGTTGGGTAGGACACACTTCAGCTGAAACTTAATTCTTTGCCATGCTATTGATTTAGCCAAGTAAAAGTATTTTATATAGACAAATACCTTATAATGCTTTGATGTTAGAGAGTACAATGTTTGTATAGAATGCATGCAATAATTTGACTATTTGGACTGAAATTAATATAAATTCATTCGTTTTGGGTTTCGTGAATCATGTCTATTATCTTTCATGCATATGATAATTGTGTAAAGTAATTATGCATATCTCTCATAGGATTGCTACCTTGTATATATCCTCACTGAAATGGCTGGAAGTACATCAATGGTGTTCACTCGCACTTGTGATGCAACTCGACTTCTAGCATTGATCCTTAGAAATCTTGGTTTAAAAGCCATACCTATTAATGGTCATATGAGCCAGGTAATTGTACATCAGATGTTCTATTATAATTTATAGTTGTAATTTGTTGTCAAATCTTCTTCTTTCCTTGTTACGGGGAGAAAATGGTAGGGAGGAAGAAGGAACCTTCTTTGTCACATTTCTTTCATTGGGCCAATTAAGTATACTATTTGAATACTATTTTTTTTTAATAATCTTTTGGCAGTCAAAGAGACTTGGAGCTTTGAATAAGTTCAAATCGGGAGAGTGCAATATTCTCTTATGTACCGATGTAGCTAGTAGAGGACTGGATATTCCCACCGTAGACATGGTGATTAACTATGACATTCCGACAAATTCCAAAGTAAGATGTGTTATGTATTTCCTTTATGTTTTTCTGACATGTTCTTATGCCATTATAAATTTATAATTAATCGAAAGTTCGTATATAGCTTCCTGTAATTATTGGAATTTATTTTCATGGAATACATGACACATCTAAATTAACACAAGGCTTGGAATCATGGAAATAGATCAACGATTTTCTATTTTTATTTTATATTTGCTGGATTCCTGACCTTGTGAGCTTCAGGATTATATACATCGTGTTGGAAGGACTGCTCGTGCCGGGCGCTCTGGGGTTGCCATTTCCCTTGTAAATCAGTATGAGTTGGAGTGGTACATTCAAATAGAGAAGCTTATAGGCGAGTAGTATATTATTATGCTGTCTTTGTTTTGATATTTTTGAAGAACAAAAGTTTCTTATTGACTAAGAAATACACTTGTACCTCAGGCAAAAAGCTACCAGAGTATCCTGCGCAAGAAGAGGAAGTTCTCCTTTTAGAGGAACGTGTCAGTGAGGCCAAAAGATTAGCTGCCACGGTAAAATTTTGTGTTGAGCTGTTATATTACACTATTTTTTGTCTGTTTATTTTTAGAAAAATAACAAAATTAACGTCCGTGATTTCTCGTTATTGCGTGTCCTAGTTGAATTTAGTTTTGAAGATTACAGTTTTGTTTAGTTTGTGAGACCAATCAATTGTGCTGCAAAAAAACTTGTTTGGGTAGTATGCATGAGGCCATAGGTTCTAACCACATTGTACAACAAAAGAAAACAGCTTATTTTATATGATTATGTGCAGACAATCACTCCTGGAATTAAATATGATAAAGGAGTTGACGCTAGTCTATGTTTATGTGATTTAAATATGATAGTAGAAACTACTCAATTGTTTGTATGTTTGCTCGTGTAGAAAATGAAGGAAACTGGAGGGAAGAAGAAACGAAGGGGTGAAGAAGATGATGGGGAGGATATCGATAAGTACTTGGGTCTCAAGGATGGAAAATCATCCAAGAAGTTTAGAAGAAGATGATGATATATCTGCCTAACTTGAGGCCATGAAAATTTGAGGATTGACTGAGATGCTACCTAACTTGTGTGTGCTGTAGAGCAATTTTGAGCAAAATTTGTAGTTAAATTAAAATAGTTATACTAACGGTTCTATGTATCAACGCTAGCTGTCTGTTTCAACATACAAATCATAAAAACTTTCGCCGAAGTAATGCAGTGATTTATTTTCCCCTTGTATTTTAGGAGATAAGTGTGCTTTGTGCAATTACTTTAGCATTTCTTTTAATTTGGTGACAAATATCACATAAACCTTGGAAGATAATAGGTTTCATATTGGATGAGATTAGTTGTGATAGTATGGGATTCAGAAGTAACATATCTTGCTTTGTTTAATTAGAAATACTATTTAATTTTTAAAGTAATTCCATGGAGTTTGATGTGAAATTTGTTAGAAAACTTTCGTAGGGATATATGAAAATATTAGTAGTCCAGGAATCTGAATGATCTTCAGTCTGGATTAAAGAATATAAACTTCCAAACCTTCTTGTCAAAGAGAAAGTTAAATTAAAATGAATAACCGTTTGTGATAGAAAAGTTAAATAGAAATTAATGTAAAATAGTTAAAAGTTTTACATTTGAGATTATCAAATCCAGAATCTGAATATGTGCAGTAAAAAAAATTTATCAAAATTGAAAGACTTTCATGACCAAACAAAAGTCACAGAAAAATGCTGAAATACTGAACCCAAGTCTTGTACTTTACATTTTATTGACCCAATATATATTTTTTATATGCAGAGTGATTCTTTGAATTTCAATATTAGGACGGACAACACATCCAAAATATATTGAAGGGATAGCACAAATTTGAATTTTAGGTATCTACTAAATTATTAGGCAAAAAAATTTTACATACTAAAAAAAGTTTCATTCTAATCAATATTAAGAGTCTATAAAAAATTGGTCATATCTCTTAAATATTAATTTAGTTTGTCACATTATTTTTAACTTTTATTTTATTTTATTTTCACCTTCAATCAATCTTTTCTATTGCCCCCAAGATGTATATTTTATCATCCAAAATTAGTCATGCGACTAGTTCTTACATTGTTACCCAACTAAAAAATTTGATTGCATTACAAATATTTATGACACTTGAATTATAACAAGAAACAGCTATGCAATTGAAGAACAGTTGAAGACACCATAGAAATGAAGCATAACAAAAGAAACAAAAATGACTCAACAAGGCAAAAACATTTTGCAGAATGCAAGCACAACCGAACATAAATTTACATACATTAGGCTTCTGCATGCAATTAACACTTTGAAACTCTTAAAACACATAGAGTTCAGTCAATTCCTCCAAAGAGTCAGAACCAAACATAGGATCTGCATTTTCTATCATCCATAACAGATGATCAAAGAGAACCACCTCACAGTTGACAATCAAAACACTTTCATCATTTCCCTCTTGATTTGACTTGTTGATCAGAGCTTTCAGAAGAGGATTATTCAGGTATTTAGACTTGATCACATACTGTTTTCTTGCACTGCCAACAAGTACAGTTTCACAATGTTCATCTTCTTGCATGTCATGTACTTTCCATAAATCTTCTTTAACAAACTTGGATCTTAGGCTATTAAATGATGAAGATCTTCCTAGATGCTTTGACAAACTCTTACACTTACTGAGTATTAGATTGAACTTACTCATGCTTGTTTTGGTTGAGGGGTGATCAATCAAGATTAGGAAAAAAGAGAGACAAAGAAAGGGTTGGTTGGTTGGGGAAAATCAGAAGATTAAAATATGCACAAAATAAATTGTGCTGTGCTTTTAAAGAGAACTAGGAGCAAAGTCATATTGTATTGGGGTGCTAGAAGTGTGGGTTCAGTTTGGAACCAAACAATTTTAGTGACGCAAAAAAGTCATTTTAGTTAATAAAAATCAAGGTTGTAGATTTAACTTACATGCACATCAGACACACATAACTGAAATTGTTTGCAGTCATCTCTTGTTAGGCATCTGACCACACAGCCCACTGTTTCTCTGAATCCATTTGCTTCTAACCAATGACTTGGACCCCACTCCTCTTGCTCATACTCTACACCAAAAGGGAAAGAACTTACAAAACAAAAACTGAAGAATTATAATCAAGCCTTACATATAAGAAGGGAAAATTTACAAAGTCACTGAACTGTTAATGATTTTATGGACTTAAAAGAATTTAGTAGTAACTTAATGCAATGTTGTTGTGTTAAGGAGCATAAATCTTAAACAAAACCAAATATCAAACTTATTAATAACACATGTAAGTAGAACTAGAATGAGCTAAAAGATTCTGACTTCCATTATATGGTAAAACAGTTAGAAAATTTGTTCATTATACAAGTTGTATTGGATGGTCTTTTTTATTTCTCTGTGCATCTGGTTATTGCCAGTATTTTTCATACAGGTTGGTTACCCGACCCTTGAACATAGTCATCTTTTGGAGTTATAAGGAACATGGTTATTTACAAGCTAATTTGTGATTGGAAAGAAAAATGATTATAAACTCTTATGTACAAGGAACATGGTGGTTTGACTATTTTTACTATGTACTAACTGATATGAGATTTACAAGATAAAAGGGTAATAAAGAAGTTAACAAGAGTCACAATTCTGACAAGAATGTGAAATGTGTTTCTTCACATAGATATTTTATTTGTTTACTGTTAATATCTAGAAGGTTTCATAAAAAAATGTTAAAGGAGATATTCAATATGTACCATCGGGTTTATGTCCCACAGGAATGGAACCTTAACTAGGTGTTTTGTCTTGTGACTGATGCTTAAGATTGTGCACACAACCCTTTGTCTCCAAACATCTCACTTTCTTCCTTTCTGACATAAAGAGGCTTTTGCAATTTACACTCCCGTGAGAAAACTGTAATTTATTAGCTAAAGATGGTAAAAAAAGAGCATTCCACTGTCCTAGAAGTGATTACAACTCATCTAAAGGTAGCAGATGACAATGAACTTTTTTGGATGGTTCTGAAATCTGTATCAAAACTCTGCTGATAAAAAAAACTAAAAAATCGTTTGTCTCTGATATTCTTTTAGCATTTCTAAGATCTGAACCATGCATCATGCTATGAAGTTAAGTATCATTGTAATACACTAGGTATTTTTAAATCTTAATTAGCAGTAGATAATGATTGACGGTAATATTACTAATGATTATCTCTAGTAAATGTAATGCTTTAGTCCAAACCTTCAACTTCTAACCAAAATTTAAATATTTATGCTTTTTTCTTTGGGTGCACCTCCCAAAAAAAAAATATGTTTCTGTTTTTATTGTTAACCGAAGGCAGAAAATTATCACTGCCAATGTGGTCCTTTAAGATTTCACGCTTGATTCACTTGTCATTAATATTTTTGTCGTAGATATAGACGAGACTTCATCATATCAAGAAAATAATGCAGCAAATTTTAAATTTTGTAATCTCTGTAAGCATTGTAGGGGCAAACTGCATAATTAAACAGGTAGATGGAGGAGATACAGTCTGTGACTAAACAAGATTTTGACTAAAAAACAAAAAGAATCATGATGAGAGACATTTACAAACACTACATAATAAGACTAAAACTTTTTAGAGGTTTAGTTTGTCATCGAGTGATGAACCTTTAGTGCAACTCTAGGTTTCACATCTGGTATCTAGTTGATACTGAGTCAGCTAGATTGATTATTTTTTCATGAAATTCTCATTTTCAAGATTTCTTTTTCAACATATCACATACAAGAATATTCAGTGCTTGTGTGTGAGATCCATAACAAGTTATGAGTTCTGAAAACTTTCTATCTAGTTTTTGCATTGAACAGGTGTTTGATGTGATCAAGGATTTAATTATCGGCTTGATGAAAAAAGAAGAAGAAGAAAGTTTTCATCTGTTTTGAACATTAGAAGAAAAATTTTCATCTGTAAAAGAAAAAAGAAAGAAAGTGTAAGACACTATTCTTTGGATGCTATGAAAGATTTACACTAATGGATAGTTCTAATAATGAATAGCAATTCTTAATCATGTTAGTTTGACTATTTGATTTTTTACTATTCTAGATAGATCTATGATATTTAAAACAAAAAAAAAGTACAATTAAGAATGTTATCTATAAAGATATCAAGAGTTTTTTTTGTTTTTTCATGAGAAAATTGCTCACTGACAACACATCCAAATCCAAAAAAATAAAAATAAAAATAATTATTAAGGTGAAATTTATATAAAACAATTCAAATTCGTCTATTAAATATTATATTATTATATAATATAAAACAAAAATTATATACAATATCTTCTTTAACTAATATTTGTTAACAAAAAAAGTAATAGTTCAACAAAAGTAATATAAAAATCACGGTTCATATATAATATATTAAAAATTAAAAAAAATAATTAACTTAATTATAAAAATAATAAATACATTATTTGATTGAATTACATATTTATAAATAATTTTATTACCTCCTGTACAAATATTTATCGTTACCTTAAATATTATAATTTTATCCATGCTTTTATTAACAATGTTTGCATTAAACTAATTAGAGTTAACAGGATATTACAAAACATTAACCACAGAGAAATTGGAAAGTTATATTTTATTTTACAATACAAAATTTAGACTGAGTCCTAACATAAAACATGATTATTTCTTATTTTATTTTTAAGCACAATTTAGTAATTTAGGAATGATATTAATTTTACTCAGACAATGTAACATCTTAAAAATATTAACCTTATTCATAATTGCTAAGCTATTCTTTAGGAAATCAAATATATAGAATTATTTTATTTTAAATTATTTGATTTTTTTAAATTATTTATTTGGATGGAATAATTTAAATTTATTAAATTTTTTTATAAAATATTTTAATTATTATTACTGGATTTGTGAATTACATATATCTTATATCTCACAGTACATTATCTTTAATTATAGGAGATAACTTGGATTGAAATAAACCCTCATAAACTAAATTGAGTCAAGTCATAATAAATTTTATTGGGTTAAATAATATCTCACAATACATTATTTTCATCTATATGAGATAAGTTGGATTGAGATAAATACTGATAAATTAAATTAAGTCAAGTTAGATCATAAAAAATTACACTGAGTTAAGTAAGGTTAAACTAATAGGTTGAGACATGTTAGGTTATATCGAATTACGCTAGGGTAAATCAAAATAGGTTAAGATGAATTAAATAATGTCATATTATAATCGAATATGACATATTAAGATGAAATAAGTTAAATATGACAAAGACAAAATATATTGAATTGGTCATATCAAGATGAATTATGTCAAAATTAATCAAAATAGGTTAAGTTGAGATATATTGATACAAAATCAGTTAGGATTTCTTTGTTGGGTTGCACTTGATTAAAAATAATTAAATCAAAGTTAAGATGTTGAATAAATTTGAATAATGTGAAACGAATTAGGTCAAATATTACATAATGAATCAAATTGTGAAGGATGAAATTATAATAATTTAAATCGGGTCAAAAGAATTAAATTAAGTTAAAACTAATTGGATTAACTCATACTTATTTAGTTCAAATCAAATTCAACTTTGTTGAAACAAATTGAAATAAAAAAAATAATTTAATTAAAATTAAGTAATATATATATATATATATATATATATATATATATTTTAAACAATCAAAATGCCCTAGTGATTTTTTAAAATTTTAATTATTTTCTAAATTTTTTATTCAAATAACTAATTTTATCATACAATATTTCAAATATTGTATTAGAATAACTTTGTCTTTATGAATTCTCCAACTAAAACCATTCTTTTTATTTTATAAAAAATTATGAGAAGTTAAAAAACGTGTATTTAACTGTATTTTAATACATACAAGTGGAGTGATGCAGGAGTAGAAGTTAGAAAAATGACCATGCATATGCAAAGTGATAAAAAACATGAACAATTTGTCCTCAAGCCAAATCTCTTTTTTGTATATGAATATGATCTGATTCAATTAATTTAGTGCCCATTAATTGAGTTTTGATTAAACATGCAATGTACATTTTCTTAACCACAGACAAGAACTGTGTGAAGAATGAATGAATAAATATCAGGATGTTGGTCTTTATTACATACAATTATTAATCGACATATGGGTATGGACATTATACATGACACTCATTATTTGTACCAAAATTATTGAACCATCAATCATGATCCTATTTTCCTTTTCTTGTTTTTGACCAAATAAAAAACAATAATAGCTCCTTATAGGATCAAAGGTTTCATTTATTTGTGCTGTTCCTAAATTGTGTATTTCTTATCATAATTCATAATCAATGTCACTTGTAAATAGAAAAATATAAAACAATATCTTTTTATTTTTTAAGTTAATAATTAATAACATGATTATTATTAATTATGATTTTCGTAAACTTTGGAGTTAAATAATGTATTATTAAATATAATAAAAAATATTAAAAATATTAATATATAAACAGTATATTTTATTATCAATTTAAGATTCAAATCATAATTACATGAAGATTCACATTCAACAATTAAATAATAAGAAGTGCAATGATGATTAATAAGATTTGCAGCTTATATAATTATTTCATTGCTAAAAAAAAAATACTATCTTTTTATCAGTTTTCAAAAAATGCTTAGGTTTATAGTCATAACCACTAATTACCATTACCTAAACTTTTATCTAATAGTAATGTTTATAGAAATTAATCTAAATTAACAATATATTTATCAACATAGTTCATAATAAATTAATTTTTTTAATTATATATATAATTTGTTTTAGTGAAACTCATAATTTAATCTAATAACAAAATGTAAATTATTTTTGTTAGATATCTATAATTTTTTTTAGGTCAAATATAATAGTTTTCATTGGTTAGATTAAGTTAAATGAATTTAATTATTTTAAAAAATATTATTTTTCATGAAATGTGTGATTTCAAAAATTTCATTTTTAATATATTTTTATAATTTTTTTTAAATATTCTATAATATTTAATATTTAAATAATTGAACAATTTAATATTTAAAAAATATAATTTACTTAATAAAATAATGGAATAATATTAATAATATTGATATGGTTTAATAATTTTGTTCAGATTAAATTATATCTTAAGTTGATATTCGAAAACCTAAAAAGTTAGATTAAAATGAGTTGGATTAAATTTAATCTTATCATAAAAATATTTTAATCAATATATTTCAACAGGATTACTAAAATTAAATTATTTCTAAACAATAAACACTCTTAAATTTAATAAATAATTATATATCACTTGTAAAAAACACGTGCATAAGAAAAAAATATATATATATATATATATATATATATATATATATATATAAACGAAACAATTTACGGAGTGAAAACAGTGATACGTAGGTGGAAATAACAGAGTCTAATATGCAATGGTAAGGTTCTTGATATTTGCACTCCCTTCTACTCCTGTTTTTGCAAAAGGGGAGTGTAAATAGCAGGTACGAAATAAAGCTCAATAAAGTCTGAAAACCAGATATTAGGGCCCAACTTCGCTCAGTGCACAGCGGCTTTGTTAACCAAAGACAAGTAAACACACTTACACGAAACTGTAATCGCGGCGGTGTCGTTGGCCATGGAAGCAGCAACGGCAGCAACCCCTTCTCAGAGAAAGCTGAAGCGGAAACGAACCCTGGCACAAAGCGATCCTGAACTCGACCGTCTCAACTCACTTCCGTGGAACTCCTCTCTTCCTCAAAATGACGACGATGACGTTTTCTCTATGTTCATTGGCTCCAACGAACTCGAAGGAGGTTCGCTCTCCCAAACAACCACCTCCCGTGTCGCTTCTCGAATTATCACTTATTTTTTACTTTTCGATTTAACGTGTAGATTTTATTAAATAAACTTGAGGTATAAGCATTTGTATTGTAGCTGATTCAGCTGAATGTTTAGTTTGTTCGCATTGGTTTTCTTGTAAGAACTGTCTTGGTTCTAGGGTTTTCGATTTTATGTTTAGCGGTTATTTTATATTGTTCTTGTTTTGCGCTGGGCAGGTTTTCTTTCCCTTGAGGAGATTGATGAGGCTGAGTATGGTTTGAATATTCCTGAACCTGAAGATGGAAAGAGGAAGACGAAGAAGAAGAAGTCTGTACAGAATGAAGATGGAAAGAAACAGCAGAAGGACGGAGTTGATGGTGGTTGTAGTGACGAGGTCGAAGCTGAGTTGGACGAGAGTGTGAAGGCGAAAGAGAAGAATAAGAAGAAGAAGAAGAAGAAGAAGAAGGCGAAAAAGAAGGATGCCACGGAAGACCAGAAAGTTGAGCAGCTAGATGTTGGTAAGTTCTTGTTTAATTTCAAATTAATCAATTAATATCAAATGCTATGCATATGCACATGTGTATGTGTACGTCTTAGTATGCTAGCACGTGTGCATGTAGATTACTGAAGATGAGAAAGATGCATTTTGCTAATGGTCATATCTTCTTCTAGGTTTAGATGCTAATGTGAAAGATGGTATAAGTGAAGAGGACAATGATGAAACTGATTTTTTTGCATGGAATGAGTTGAGGCTTCATCCTCTCCTAATGAAAGCAATATGTAAACTTGGCTTCAAGGAACCAACACCGATACAGAAGGCTTGCATTCCAGCTGCTGCTCATCAAGGGAAGGTTGTTTGAAGCTTTTCTTTAGGGTGCCGTGTTGGTTTCTATCCAAAGTTACTAAATTAAATTTAATGAAATTCTTCTGTGTGCATTTGATAGGATGTTGTTGGGGCTGCAGAGACAGGATCTGGTAAAACACTTGCATTTGGTTTGCCCATTTTGCAGCGCATTTTGGAGGAGAGAGACAAGGATGCAAACATGGTTGAAGAACCTGAAAAGTATTCTTGTAAAGGCCTTTTGAGGGCTCTTATTATTGCTCCGACTAGAGAACTTGCACTTCAGGTACTTGCAAAGCTTTCTGTTCATTTCTCAATTTTTCTTAGTTGTCAGTTACTTGATTGTTACAGTGAGGTTTATATATTTTTATACGACTAAGGTGAGAACTGTTATGATGTGTTTATAGTCTTTTAGTAATTACAAACTTATTAACAAGTTTCATATGGTTTAACTTAGCACTGTCCATCTCCTTTAGAGGGAGTAACTCAGATGGGATTTACTTATTAGATTTTTATGATAAAGCTTTTCTTAGAGTTGGTGGGTCAAGGTTATCTAATGGAACATACGACAATGAAGCCTCCTTGTGACTGGCGACCAGTATTGTGTACTCTGGAATCTGGATTCAGTCGAAGAATAGTGGGTTAGACATTAAGAACATTTGCAGTAATGAGTGGGAGATTTTCTTAGTTATATTAAAATGTGGGTCATTACAAAATCAGGTATTTTGGACATCAAATGTTTAAAAACTTTAAGTGCCAACATTGAAAAAATAATGAAATGTAGTAACCAAACTAAGTTACAATGCATTGATGTGTTTACTATGTTCATAAAACCTAAATATGTTTACTAATGTCAACTAAATAGTAAAGAAAACCATATCTCTCTCTCTCTCTCTCTCTCTCTATATATATATATATATATATATATATATATATATTAACACTTAATGAAATAAGTGAAAAATCTGATTACAATTCAGCACCTAGGGATTTTTGCATCAATTCTTTCATGACCTCAACAAAAAGAAATATGATAAAACTTTACATAAAGTTTTGTCAAGTAGCCAATTTCATGTACTTGATTTTGTCAGACTGTCAATCATTCTAACTGTAGTTCCTTTAATAACTAATTGCTCATTTTTATTGTAATTGCCTTTCAGGTCACTGATCATCTGAAATCAGTTGGCAAATATATTAATGTTAGGGTGACCCCTATAGTTGGGGGCATTTTAGCTGAAAAGCAGGAGAGACTTTTAAAAGCAAAGCCTGAGATTGTTGTTGGCACTCCGGGACGGTTATGGGAACTTATGTCAGCTGGAGAAAAGCATCTAGTTGAGGTAATTGTCAATGCGTTGTGAAGTTTGAGTATCACTGGATTTGTATTTCTGCAAATCAAATAGTTTGTTTTGATGAATAATATAAGGCATTAGATAATTGGGATGCGGAAATGTACTTTGGAAAACTGTAAACTACTTATCTGCACAGTTAAATAGAAAAAAAATGAAATGTGGAGAATTCAAAGAACACCTAAGTAATAGGCTCTTGGCAACTTTTTTATCCTTAGAAGCGTGATCAAGCATGACAGTATGACTTAGATTATTGCAAGAGCAATATGTTGCTCGTTCCTAGCTAAAAATTATACTGTTCAATGACAAGCAATGCATGCACTTGCAATTTTTTATTGTTATTGTGCAATGAATATGATGATTATGCATGCTAGTATGGTTTAGATCATTGTGAGAGTGCTAAATTGCTCATTCCTTGCTAAAAATTATACTGTTTAATGACAGTGTATTCTTGTTGGATGTTGTTTGATACAATTTTGCATATACTTGTTCTGTTTTATTTTATTGTTGATACATAACTGCTTCAGGATTGATGCAAGCTGATAAATACATGTATAAATATACTTTATATCGTATTTATTGAAAGTTATTTCTGATGTCAGCCATGTTGATTTGCAGTTACATTCACTCTCTTTCTTTGTCCTTGATGAGGCTGATCGGATGGTGCAAAATGGTCACTTTAAGGAGTTGCAGTCTATAATTGATATGCTTCCCATGTCCAATATCTCCACTGAAGATAATTCTCAAAATGTACAAAGTTGTGTTACAGTTTCTAGTTACCAAAGAAAGAAAAGGCAAACACTTGTTTTTTCCGCAACTGTTGCTCTGTCTGCTGATTTTCGCAAGAAGCTAAAACGGGGATCAATTCAACAAAAACAATCATTGACAGATGGATTGAATTCTATTGAAACTCTTTCTGAGCGTGCAGGAATGAGATCCAATGCAGCAATTATTGATCTTACTAATCCGTCTATATTAGCAGCTAAGCTTGAGGAGTCATTTATTGAGTATGTAAACTCATCTAAACACTAGAACTAGAATTTGAGTTTTAGAGAATACATATTTTTTAGTGATATAATATACTCATTATTTACTGAAATTGCAACTTGAATTTCATACTGTTATTTTTTTTATGCCTACTATTGTGTTGGGTTACATAACCTGGTGGCCCACATGCTATTTTTTACTTCCTTGTGCAAAGAGTTTTACTTTTGTTAGGCAGTTTTGCTAAACTTCCAAGATACTCCTTCGTGACTCCCTATGTAATCTTATTAAATAGAAACCTAGGCATAATTATTCATGATAAAGTCATAAAGTAAAGTTTAATATGACATGAAATGTTATTTACTTTGTTTGGTGATGCAGCATTAATTAATATTTTGCAGATGCAGAGAAGAAGATAAAGATGCGTATTTGTATTATATTTTGACTGTCCATGGGCAAGGTCGCACAATAGTTTTCTGCACATCAATTGCAGCTTTACGTCATATTTCTTCCATACTGCGCATTCTTGGAATCGATGTTTGGACTCTTCATGCTCAAATGCAGCAGCGAGCACGATTAAAGGTTTGGGTCCTGTTAGTGTAACATAAAACTATTCATATGTCTTCATCTAAATAGTTAAAAGTTTATGGAATAATTGGTTCATAATATGGTATTAAAGCCTATCTGGTCCTGATATGGGGTCATTTACGGATTTCAATTTTGGCAAATATTATGACATATATGTCCAATCCTAGGCATGAGAGGGGGTGTGTGGAGATGAGCCAAATTGGTTAAGAATGCAATCAAAATATTCCTTATAAGATTTGATGATTCTCACCACATTGGTTAGGCATACGGCCAAAATACTCCGTAAAACACTTGAGCAATCCTACCCAAGGTAGTCAAAATCGTGCTCTAGACTGTAAGATTGTATGTGTCTACGATCTTCTCCAGCCTCTCTGATTTGCATCACATCTGGGTTGTGGTTTTAGTGGATCATGAGACTTGCATGGGTGCGGTATATCTGTCATGCTGGTGATGCAGCATTTCTGTCATGTGGGTACAGTGGCATCTTTGTTGCGTGGTTACTGTGTCTCCGTCATGGGGGTGCTGCAGTGTCTCTATCACATGGGTGCTGCAGCATAAGGGTCAGGTATGTGACCCAGTGTTGTTGCTCCAAGGTTAAGTCCAAGTTTTTATCCTTCAAAGCCCAAATTTGGCTACAAAATGGAGTGACTTCCACGATACTGGTTGAGCCCAAACAGTGACTTATGCATTTTTCTTTTGTGATAAAAAAACAAGACACTCCGCTTGCCCTTTTGAAAAAATAAAAAAGACTGCAGCTCTCAGCTGCATCATAATAAATCTATTTAATTTTATCTATTGACTTACTGTTTTTTGTGCTTGTTATATTTTTTGCTTATGTTGAATTGAAGTTTAAATATTTACACACACAGACACATGTATGTATATACTTTATAAATTTAGTAGGATCCTACAATCCTTGTTATGATCTCTTGATTTACGATTTATACTTTCCTTTCTGCTCTTGATTTTGACTACCTTGATCCTACCCGAAGAGCTAGCTTTTGTTCTTGAGTTGGGCTTGGTTAGATTCTAGTATGCTATTATTAGAACCTTTGTGGTTGTCTAGAATTCAATCCTTCATCGAGATTCATTCTTCTTACACTTGAGATTAATAAAAGGAGAGAAAATATATTTTAGTGGGCTTGAATCTTTCTGTCTTTGATTCTATTATTTATATTTGAAAAAAAGAAGTCTCAATCTGAGTTACAATAAAGAGAGAAAAGAGTTCAAAACAAGTAAAGGCACCTCTAGGTGCAGATAGTTGCAGCTCAAAACAGCCTTTTTATAAAGCTTATTCTAACACTTACAATAAAAGCTCAAGATTGTCCGCAATTCATGCTCAAAGGGATCTACATTAGGGCTCTTGTTAGAATTATAATATCAAATTATTTGTGTCTTCACCTAATAGTTCAAGCTTAGTTGGTTCATTTTATGATTTCAGTCTTAATGTTAGGCCACCCCAAGTGACTAGTCTTGTTAAGATGTCCCACATTGACATGGAATATGACAAAATTACTCTTTTTAAACTGTAGGCAACCATCCTCACATTGCCAAAATATTCCTTATAAGATTGGCCAAGGCATCTTTAAAGAGGTCAGAAACACATCCTGTCTCATAAAGTTGAGAAGAGCAAGGCATCATTAAGGATGGGTGTATATTCTGCTCCAACTAAATGTGTTCTTACTGTCAGATGAGTTTGGCGTCCTTGATATATAGGGTTCTAAAATAGCCATTGAAAGCCCTTCCAAAGTAGGAGATAACTTGCCCAAGGGTTGATAAAACCTCAAATATTACTCTGTTAGAATATATAAAAATATCTTTTAACCTGTTAGATTATTCACTAGGATTCGTTCTATTTCCTCATTATTTACTACGATTGATTAATGTGTTTCCTTATCAAGATTTGTTTCCCTAATTAATTTAGATTATGATTTAACTATTAAGTTTAAACAAGGATTAGTGCTCTGAAGTTTATTAGCTTATAATATAAACTAACATACCCCTTCACCTAGAAGGCTCCTGATATGAGGGAGGGTCATTGTATGTAGCCTTGCTCTTGCATATATGCAAAGGGTTTCTGGATTCAAATCCATGACCAACCATCACCAAAGCACAACTTTGCCACATGCCTGGGCTTACCTCTGATTTTATTTGCATATATCTTATTGAAATACATCTCAGTTAAAATCAATTTAGTGTTTCATTTTTCATCAGTCTTTCTTCCTCTATACCCAAATCCCTTTAATGGCAATCACTTCATAAGTCATTTTGAACAAGATTGTAGATTCTGATGTAGAACAACATATACACATCAGTAGAAAGAGCAATGTGAGGCCTTTTGAAGCAGGTCTTTAGTGTTAATACTATTCTTATTAAACATCATTTCTCAGAGGAAAAAGTAAGAGCAATATAGTCTTGTAGACTGGATTACTATTTGGGTTATGAATTACAGACTGTTCAGTATTTTCTGGGGTTGTAGGTCCATTGGTCATGATAGTTTTTATTTATGAAGAAACTGCTGTTGATACCATAAGAGGAGAGTATGAAGAAAATATTTCCTGTTTTATTTATTTCAAATGACCATATGTATATTATATAGAAAGGAGACTGAAGAAAATGTGATTAAATTAATTATCTTGTTACTGAGTAATAAATCCATTTCATTGAATATTGCATTTTATTTCCCTCACCATTTTTGTTGTTGTTGGCTGCCTGGTTTGATGTAGGCCATTGATCGCTTTCGAGAAAATGAAAATGGCATACTTGTTGCTACAGATGTTGCTGCAAGGGGTCTTGATATTCCTGGTGTTAGAACTGTTGTCCACTATCAGCTTCCACATTCAGCAGAGGTATGCAATACCTTGTTTCTTTGATTCTTATATTTACAGATATGATATCTCAAACGTGTTTCTTATTTTTAGGTTTATGTTCATAGAAGTGGAAGAACAGCCAGAGCCTCTGCTGAAGGTTGTAGTATTGCTTTAATATCACCGAGAGATACAACAAAGTTTGCTTCATTGTGCAAGTCATTTTCTAAGGTATTTGTTGCTTTAAATTTAAACATCTGTAGTAGAGATATTAAACTTGTACTTTGTAGCTATTATTTTTAATTATCTCTTATTCAAGCCAGTTCATGAAAATTAGTTAAGATATGTTTTTTAAGAAAATGGAATAAATTAAATATCTTTTACATGAAATAAGTCTGTAATTCATGCTGTTGCATCTAGACTAAAATAAATATTTAATTAATTTTAATTTCCATTTATGGCCGTGGTCACATACAGGATAACTTTCAGCGGTTTCCTTTAGAGAACTCTTACTTGCCAGAGGTCCTAAAACGTTTGTCTCTTGCACGACAAATAGACAAGATAACAAGGAAGGATTCCCAGGTATACTGATTAACACCTAAATTCGGGCAGATAAGCTTTTGGACTTTATTCATGCAACTTGCGTTAGTTACATGAACAAATCAAGTCATCCTGGAATTATTCATTTTCTTTGTATATGATTTAAATTAATTTTGAATTCAATTACTCACTTGCATATTTTCTTACATGTCCTTAATATTCCAGGTTAAACAGTAAAATTTATGTTTTGCTTTGTTACCTTTTTTTTTTTACCATCTCTCTATTCAGTGATTCCTGATTGAGTCTTTAATGATTATAGGTGTAGATTTGTTAGTTTATCTTATCCTTGTCTATTTTTCCTTGTTAGGAATGTTGTGCTTCAACTATTTGTGGCCGGATATGTGTGCAATTTTTATGTGAGGATTTTATTTTTCTTATTGTAGGAAAAGGCTGAGAAAAGCTGGTTTGATCGGAATGCTAGCTCAGTGGAATTAATTACTGAAAATTATGACAGTGAAGAGGAACAAGTGAACAAACATAAGCAAAAGAAGACCAGCTCTAGAGAATTGAAGAAATTGCAGGAGGCATGAAACTCACTTAAAAAAAACTGAAATGATGTGTAATCATTATCGCCCTTTTTGAAATTATTTAATCTTACAAATTGCAGGAGCTCAATATGCTGATTTCACGCCCATTACAATCAAAATCATTCTCACATCGGTATTTAGCAGGGGTATTATTCTTATTGTGTTTTAATTCACTCTGGCACTTACTTTTTTATGTTATTTAGAAGTAGCATAGTGATTGGCTGTTGCAAGGGAACACGGGAGGTAGAAAGCATGAGGATATTTTTAATATTTTATAATGTAGATTTGCATATATATATATATATATATATATATATATATATATATGATAGTATGTGTTAGTTCCACTCATCCTAAAGTTGGATTCTTGGGTTGGGCTGCCTCTAGTGATATGGTTGAAGTTGCAAGTTGGGACTTTATCTAAGGAATTAGAAGCTTCTATGATGCCACCAGAATGTGGGTGATATATGTTCCATTGTCTTCAACATTCATTATTGTATTCTAAATTCTAGTCCATTTGTTACCTTACCTCTCTATACACAACCTAGATTGGCTTAATATTTTCTTGATAATGAAGAAAGGATTATTGGCATTTTAAAATTGGATAATGCCTCAGGGTTTCATGTTTACTGATACTTGGCAAAACAATAGGCCTTAATACTTTAAATCTATTTAGACACATTATTTTAAACATGTATTTCGTTGTTTCTTTTCCATTCAACTTGTACCTTGATGTAAGACAAGACTCTAATGTAATGTACGCTTTTTCCAGGCTGGTGTCACACCCCTCATGCAGGAGCAATTGCAACAATTAGCAAGGCAAAAATTAAGTGATCACCAAGGAAAAAAGGGAAAATTGGTTGTGATTGGTCAAGATTGTGTGGATGCACTTCAGGCACTTCGATGTGCTGGTGAAGAGGTAGAATCATACTTTTACATTTTTCATACTCTGGCAATTTAGTTTTCTGCTTTGTGAGTTGTTCCGTGGATGATGAATTCTGACATGAAGGCCTGCCTGATGTGTAAATTGAGGATTCTTTTGTCTTTATGGTGAAAATTGCATTTTTTTCCCTTGTCTACATTTGACCTTTTTATCATACTCTCTGATAGGGAACATGATAGCTACACGCACAATTTGATTTAATTTTGATCATGTATTGCCTCATACCCAAATTATTAAAATAGTTTGACTTTGGTAACAACTAGCCAATGAAACCCTAATAATATAGCATATAATTTGATGATAGTGTATAACATTTTTATATTGCTAGTAGATCAAAATTAAACTCCTTATTTGAAAGCGTGTACTCTAGTTTTTTGGGGCCGAAATGTCTGGAATTTATGTACAGTAGAAGGTTAATATTCAGCTTACATTAAGATTTAGCTAATATTTTTGGTTCATTTTGTTTATCCTTTTGCCCCTTGTTAATATGGGAAAATTGGTAAGTGTACAAAGTTGTGTGTATAGTAAAATTATTAGTACCAAGAATTGTTCTCAAAGAATATGTTTAAGTACCACTTCCCAAGTTGAACAAATATCTACAGACTTTTTACGTTTGGTTTGAACGAAGCTCAAATCATAGAAAACCAATTTTAAAAAAATCACATCTTGTTGTAGTTTTTTTAGGAATTTAAACAAACGTTAAGAAGGCATTAATAAATATTTCACTTGATTAGTTGATCATGATCAGAGGAAACTGCATAATAGATAAATGACATTTTGAATTACCCTTGACTTTGTTATAAACCACTTCCTTTGGTGAAACTACCTTATTTAAAATCCAAAACTCTGTTAACAAGCCAAATTCCCTTTGTCAAATTAACAAAGCAAGGTTATGAATTCAATTGGAATTTTAGAACATACCTTACCACACAGCTCCCTATCCCTAGATTAACTTCATTCATGGCACCGAATGCAAGCATACTCAACTCACTGTTCCTAGCTTAAATTTGGGCCAGCTTGAAACATAACAACTGATAGCCAAAACAAGGGAAAATATTTATAGAATAATTCAATCAAGGTTAAAGATCATCAATAACCAAATAATTTCATTCCCCTAGTAAAGAGGGTTTAACTAAATATGAATGAAAACTTAGACACTGATAAGACAGGAAAGAAGAAACTTTGTGAAGATGCCAGTGATGATGAGAGATTCTTTTTCTTCCTCCTTCAAGCAAGGTAATGGAAGACTAGAGTTTCTGAAATGTGTTTCTGAGTCTCGGGAGGCTGCAAAAACCCTTGGGAGACTAATTCGTCTTTCTTTTACTTTCATGCTTTTTTATAATAGTGAATTTGGATAGTGCCACTGCCATGGCACTGTATTTTGATGCTGACACTAGATAGTACCAGTCAGAAAGCATATTTTGCATCCGTCTTGTGTGTCATGGCATTGCGATTTGGTTTGGGTGTCATGTGCAGTATAGTCGAAGAAAAATCTATGCTTAATTACAATATGACTTGATTGAAATTTCACATATCATAATCCTTTTTCCTCACAGGTGCGCATGGATATCAAGGATATGGCTGGAAAGCAGAGAATTGTGGAAAATTTAAAACGAAAGCGAAAAGAGGAGAAAAAACGTAAGTTTCTTAAGTAACTTTTCCTTAATATTTTAGTTATTCATTTCCCTGATTAACGTTTATGTTTCAAGTTAGTGAAAAAACAATATTTTGACATGTGCCAGGTTTGCGTGATCAGCGTAGAAAGCAGAAGAAAAAGCTAAAATACGGGGATGAATAGAATTGTATACATAACTGATCCATTCGGTAAAAATTTTGCGCCAACCAAAATTGTGAAAGTTGCTGAATTTTTCAGGGCAGCCTCTGTAGTTTCTCCTGCCTAATTTTAGTTAGAGCTTTGACTTTGTGGTTGAGTTTATATTATATCACAGGCACCTTTTCATCTTTGATAGTTCTCACGTAATAATAATAGTCTTGCAGTGTTTCTAGGTCTCATTGACCAGATTGCTGGCGCAGATTGGGTCTTTCATTAGGCAAATGCTGAATGTTTTGAACAACAAATCTGGTTAAGTTTGGCCAGGAAAAAGACTAGCAAGGATAGCTTCTCTTTCTTTTTCAATCAAATAGTCAATTATGTCATGTTCACGTTCAAATTAAGATGCACGGACATGTGAAACAACCGAAACGTAAAGACTATAATTTTGAAAAAAATTAGTTATAAATTCAAAATACAAAAAAGTTTTTTAATTCAACTTATTTTAGGATTTCATGGAAACCCGCATTCGCAAGTGAACGATCCTTTTTTGGTGAGTTGCTGTAGTTTTAGAGTACTAGAATGCTGAAAAAGAAAGATATTTGCGCAGGTCAAAGTAGTAGGTAAAGTATAAATATAATAATTGTAAAATAAATACTGTAGCATATCAACAGTAATGAGATTAAGATTTAAATAATAAATATACTAATTTAAAAATAAGGTTATATTTGATATATTTTTAGAGAATTCTAATTAAAAAAGGTTATATATATATATATATATATATATATATATATATTTATTTATTTATTTTTTAACACGAACCGAGTTTTTATTACACTTCTCTTCGAAAGTCTCATTGTTCTTGAAATGAGACATCTCTCACTGTCTTTTTAATTTGTTTATAGCCTGATGACCCCTTTCATACTTATTTTAGGTTCAAGTAGGTTGAAAGAGGGAAAATGGTAAACCCTTTCCTCCTGAAACTGTACTCTATTACAAGGCAATCAACATATTCTTAAGTGGGATGCTGAGATTCTGTCACTAGTGTCAACGAGATTACCATTAGTCACATCTTTGAAGCTGAATCACTCCTTTAAGAGCATTGAAGAGACTACCTTGACAGTCATGATCAGAAAAGATGGTATTAAAATTCCCTATATTTACTGAAATTGTAGCATAAACGACCCTCAAATCATCCCCTAATTCTTCATCATGCGTTCCATTGAATCCTCAAGGGCACCAATTGAGAAGAAAAGTTATATTCTCTACTGCCTATACTTGTATAAGGTAATATATTTGATAAATATATATATATATATATATATATATATATATATATATAAGTTTTTATTTATGAAATTGCTCTACTAATATATAATTTTTTTTATTATATATCTGAAATATCTATCTATTTCGCTGATATTACTTTTTTAATATATTTATGAGTATATTAATTAATTCTTAGTTTTTTCAAAATTTACTTCATATGTTCTTATTTCAGTTTTATATTGAAAAATATTTTTAATGTAAAGCCTTAAAAAAAGACAAATCATGATTAAAATATAAAAATGTAATTAAATAAGTAATTTACTGTTTAAATAATACTAGTTGTAATATTACGGAGTTGTTTTAAGTCAATAATATTTCATATTAATTTTATTTACGAACATGAAATTATAAAAATAACAAACTGGTTTCTATAATAATAGCAGTTTATTCATCATAAATTTTTATTTATTTTCAACTCATGTTTATATTGAAAAAAAGTTGTAACACATTTATAACAAACAAAAAAAAAGTAATCATTTTGTAAAAACAAGCACTCTTTGACGAAAATAGAAACTTAAACAAACAAGTCCATTTTTTCAAAATTAAAAAAATTAATCCATCTCTAAAATGTTTATTGAGCTTAGGTTAATTTGGTATTAGTATTCTGTTGGAATAAACTAATTTAAATTTTAAAATGTTCTACAAAATAATTTATTATTACTTTTAGAAAAAAAAATTGATTTTTCTTTCTCGTATTGAAAAGTGTATTCTATCAAAATTAAGACAAACCTACTTATCCTACTCTTTTGTGAAGCCCTACAAACTCACTTGCCATTGTTACCTGGTCAAGTAAGTATCAACCAAGACAAACTTAGTTGGATGTTGCATTCAAAATCAAAACTATTCTCATTTGTGTATTTAAGAAAAATTAGAATCAAATACATGTTCCAATTCATTTTATGTGAATTCGGCTTGGAAACATGGTTCATGGCATTTTTTTTCCCCTTAAACTGTTAACAAATTCTGGTTGTACTTATGGTTTCATATACAACTATTATTCCAATATCAACATTATCATGAAATTTTCAAAAGTTTTAAAATTTACGTAAAAAAAGAAGAAGACATTCAACATGTTTTAAGGGAGTACATATATTTTATATCTCACATATAATATTATGAAATGTTGAATTTTGAAATATAATTTGAAGAAGTCTTAGCATAATTTGAAAACGAGAAGCTAGAAGTGACCCAAGTAAAAATTAGGGTAAAGATATTATATTTATACAAAAATTAATTTTAATATGTAGTTTTTTAAAATATTAAAAACAATCATTTTTCAAGTTTTTTTTTTCTTTTAAATGAATAAAGGTCCCTATATATATACAAAATTTAATTTTAAAATAATAAAAGTTAATTTAAAAAAAATAATATTATTTCTTAAATATAAAAATTGACCCTTCCCCTTCATTCATAGGTATAGTACGAAGACAACTTTAAACTACCTTCAAAACAGACCTAATCCAAACTATTTATATATTTATAGTAAAAAAGTTTTGATAGCATTAAATTTGTGATTATCTTTCTGTTATAATGACATGTAATAAATAATAAATAAATTAAATAACAAAAAAAATTATCATATATAAACTTGAATATAAATTATTATACAAATAACTGTTTTGTATTTTTGTATTTGTATTATGATGCTAAGAAGAAAAGATTACGCGTTGTATTACCAGGAATTGATGCCTTTGCATTGAATGAGTTGAAAAGTCCCAAGAGAATGAAAATCTTCCACATTTGGTTCCAACTTCTCCAAGGATCAATCCATTTCCACCAATTGCTTTGATATTTGGAATCATATTCTTTGATTTCTCGCAGAATGTTCTATTCCATGTTTGTAAAATTCTCTCAATTATGCAGATAAAAGAATGGTTTATTATTCTGTGACCAAATTTTGACCAGCACTTAAATATATGTTATTTGTGGAATTATTCCAATATGCATAGCAACTATTTTGTTGTATTATTGTGCTTGAAACTGTATGCATTTTCGAGTGACATCTAATCCAACAAGTTCATCAGAAAAGGTTTGTTGTGGGCCATTTAATGTGGAAATGGCATATTCTTAACTTCACCCTTTGGAAATTAGCAATGAACTATCAATACAAAGTTTACAAAAAGGGCAACATTTGAAGGTGAAAAAGTGTATTACATCTTTGTTTTTTGGCACCAGATGAGGAAAGATGATAAAGAAGGAACCTGAAATCTCTGTGCACATAACTGCAAATTGAAAAGAGAAAGATGGGGAACACGGATTAAACAAGAAGCAGTTTTAGGGAAACAATTCATTGGCAATGATAGTTTTGTTGATGCACCTGTGCATGGTGATTTTGTTTTTTGTATTTTTTTTTATTCACATCATCAAGTTTCATCGTGTATGATCGTAAACCGTCTAATAAATATTTAAATCATAATAAATAATATAAGGTTAATAATGTAAGATTTTTAAGATATTTCTTCTAATGATAAGGTATTTTATTCATAACAAAAAAATAACTCTTTAAAAAAACTAAAAATAAATTAAATTTTGATTATATTATGAATTAAAACATAAAATGAATTTAGAACGTGAAATAATCTACCAATTATTTACTATATCAGATTTTCAACATATATATTATAATAATATTCTCTTTGTCACGTACAAATCACTAACATCACTTTCTATCCCTTTAGTGTTTGGATATGGCATCTTAGGATAATGGTGAGAAAGTAATATTCATTTTTTATTCCAAATTTATCTCTATAAAAATTATTTTCTTTGTGAAAATATTTTATTTATTTTAGTTTTCATAAATAAAATGTTTTTTTTATTTATCTCTTATAAATATATGTTTTTTTTATTTTAGTTTTTAATAATATTTGACATGACATTTTTTTAATGTCAATCATGCTAAATTAGAATTTTGCAAAACAATATCATATATCAAAAGTAAAAATAAAATAAAATTAAAAAGATAGAACTTAAATATAAAAAGTAAAGTCAAAGTAATAAAATAAAACTAAAAAATAGAAAAAGTTAATTAGGCCTAAATTAAATGAGGGTACCAACTTTTCCTCTTTGAAGTTGGTATGAGAAAACCGTGTGTGCCCCATGCTACAAGGGAAAAATAAATTTCAAAAATTATTATTTAACAAATGTGTGCCCCATGCTAATTAATTTTTATAATTTTATTTTAACTTACGTAATTTTTTTTAAAAATAAATAAATTTGTAATTTAACCAAAATAGTTTTTTTTTTAATTTAATTCTAATATAAAAAAATTATTTTAATACGATTAATAAGAAAAATTTCATTGAAGCTGAACTCAGATACTGATGCCACCAGTCACTGCCTGTTTTCAGTATAAATGCTGGGAATGTTCATAGCAAGATTTATTACCGTTTCCCCGCAGTTTAATTTTCTCGGGAAAACGTGGTTCTACCTAAGAAAATGACATAGCATAGCATAGAGGTCCACGCGTTTGATTTTTTCACGACAAAATTAAGCTCAACTAAGTAGACTCGCATATAGTGGTGTTGAATTTTCCACAGACAGACAGAAAGAAAGGAGGATGTGGAAACTCGCGCGATTCGCCGCCGCTTCCAATATCGCCCGATCGCGGCGGTTCTCCGCCGCGATTCCCGGTCCGTGCATTGTACACAAACGCGGTGCTGACATACTCCACGATCCCTGGTTCAACAAGGTTTGAC